TGAAAGGGCCACAAGAAAACAGTCAAATACAAACACAAACAGAAAAATTAGAATGGAAAAAAGAAATGAAGCAAAGAACAAATAGCAAAACGATCACAGGGAAATACTGCATTTTCAGTAACAAGTTTAAATGTAAATGGTCTGACCTCCCCATGCAAAAGACAGAGAGTGACTGCATGAATTAAAGAAACCCTAACCTATCGTTTTGCTACCTACAAGCAACACACCTTAAACATACGGACACAGCCGACCAGAAATAAAAGGAAATAGAAAACTATCCCATGGGAACCGTAAACAAGAAAAGTAGGAGCGACCATACTGGTGTCAGATAAAATGGACTTCAAAAGATCTACCACAAGATACACGGATGCTTATTAGCTGAAAATAATAAAAGCACCAATCTGGCAAGAGGATTCTATCACTCAATGAAGGGATAAGCAAACGGTAGTACATAGAAACAATGGACTGATACACAACCATCAAAAACAATGATGTGTCTATGAAAAATGATAATATGGATGGACCTGGAGGGCATAATGCTGAGAAGCATGTCACGCATATAAGGACAAATGTTCCACAAACAGCCTTTGACAAGAAAGCAAGAGTAGATACAGGGAAATACCAATGTTCCTTGGGACTTACCAGGGAGAAGAGGGACGCAAGTGAAGGGACACATTAAATCATGAAGACTCATCATTGTTTTAGGTGAAAATTGGCACCAAAAATTGTATGTAGTGAACACCAAAGATTTTTACAGGTACGTGTTGGCATACAGATTGGTACAGGTGTTTACACAAGTGAGAACAAAAATATTTCTCACTTCCATAGATTTGGGTTGCTAAGCGCAGGGCTAGCAGTTTGAAACCACCAGATACTCCCCACGAGAAAGATTAGACTTTCTACTCCTCTGAAGAGTAACCAGCTCTGAGACTCACAGGGCAGTCCGACCCTGTCCTTTAGGGTCACTATGAAAAGTATCATTGGGTATGTGTCAATCCACAAATGTGGATACATGCAAGTGGATTCCTGGAAGATGCAAATTTAGATATTCCACAGATGTAACCA